TTGGCCTCCCAAACTGCTGGGATTACAGACATGAACCACCGTGCCTGGCCAGAGCTGGGTGTTTCTCTAAGGACATCCTTCTTTGTCTTGATCCTGGAACATGACTGAAGGAAAACAGGAATCTTTGGAGCCATGGCACGTGAGAACCATCTGTCTCCTCAGAAAGACTGCCTTAGGTTGGAGCGGCCTCTTACAGATATTCTTGGCAATGCTGGGACCAAAGCCCAGGCCTGGCTGCCCTTGTCAGGGCACCTGGCCCAGGTCGGCTTTGCCCAGTTCCAGCAGGGGTTGGCGGGTAGGGGAGGAAGCTGGGGACATGGTGCTGCTGAAATTTGAGCCATCAGACCCAGTGGCACTGTCCAGGCCCTGTCAGGAGAGTGCATGGGGTAAGATGTGAGTCAGGGCTGGGGGAGGTGGGCAGGGACCTGGCCCTGCTATGCACCTGCTTGGGAGTCCTTGCCCTGCCTTGGCTCTGTGAGTCCACCTGGAGTCCAGCGCTCCTCATTACCCCACCAAGGCCACTGCCAGATGGCTCCCTCCCTCCTTCCCTGCCTTCCAGTGGAGGTCTCAGCATGGCAACTCAGCCCATATCTCTTTTCTGCCCAAAATACCGCAGAAGCTTCCCACATCCCTCTGTGGAAGCCAGACGCTTCCAAAGGCCTCAGGGCCCTAACTGCCCTCTGCTCCAGTCCCTCGCCACCCTCATCTCCTCCCTTTTCCCCTCACTGGGCCGACCTGAGTGCCAGACCTTGGCTCCCCAGGCCTTTACATCACTGTGTTCCCCACCTGGGACTGTTCTACCCCAGGGAGCCACATTCCTGCTCCTGGGGTACATTCACTTCTTCCTAAAGGCCTCTCTCCTAGAAGCCTTCCTGGCCTCCTGACTTCTGAGGCCAGCCCAGACTTTCTGCCCCTCCCTCCCTTTCCTCCCTGGCACTCCCGTGCCGTCTGGCACACCACATGCTCACTTCACCTACTTAGCGTCTGTCAGTGCCCCCACCAGCATGGCTTTTTTTGTTGTTGTTGTTTGTTTGTTTGTTTTTGACACAGAGTCTCATTGTGTTGTCCAGGCTGGACTCGAACACCTGAGCTCCAGTGATCTTCCCACCTCAGCCTCCCGAGTAACTGAGACGACAGACATGCACCACCTCACCTTTCTCAGAGCAGCCTTTGGAATGTTTGTCTCTCTTGTGCCTCTCCTTGGTAGACACACAGTCTAGACTTTGGAATAAATGAATGTGTTAGTGACTGAATGGCAGGGGACAGGCAACTCCATCCATGAGCCCAGGGCAGGGAGGGCTTGCTGGGTGGGAGCCATGTGCCCATGGTCCTAGGGAGTCCTGTTGGGTGGTTCCCTGGGCTGTCTGCTGCTGCATGCTCTTTTTGGACCCAACACCCACATGGTTTGCTTGGCATTAGATTCCAGTTGGGAAGGGCTAGTACCTCCTGTTCCGGTCATCATCAGGCATAGGCATATGTGGAGATAGCAAAGGACATGGGGGCCTGACTGCAGCCCCCATTGCCTGGCTGCATGCCATGTACAGGATGGTGCAGCCCTGCCCCTTGGCTTCCTCCCTCTGCGTGAGGATTCCTTGATTCCCAGAACAAATACACCCTGCCTATGCTAGGATTCCTGGAGGCAAATGATTCAGATTGTTTCAGACAGTCCTAAGTGCTGTGAAGAAAATAGGAGAGGTGCCAGCATGGTGGCCTGCATGTATAGTCCCAGCTACTCAGGAGACTGTTGGGGGAGGATCTTTTGAGGCCAGCCTGGGCCAACACAGAGAGGCAGCAGGGAAGCCTGGGGGAGCAGAGGGCTCAACCATAGGGTCTCTTCTCTGCCCAAAACACTTGATATATTGTCTGGGCCTTGTAGAGACCTTGTCTCTACAAAACAAATTAGCCAGACATGGTAGTGCCTGTCCGTAGTCCCAGCTACTCAGGAGGCTGAGGCAGGAGGGTCCCTTGAGTCAGCAGTTCAAAGCTGTAGTGAGTCATGATCATGTCATTGTACTCCAACCTGAGTGACAGAGTGACATCCTGTCTCCAAAGGGGGAGAAAATGGAGAGACGGGTGTGGAAAGGGGCTGATGGGAAGGGGAGCTCTCAGGAGCTGGCACTTTAGCTTAGACCAGGATGCTAAGAAGAGGCTGGCCCTGCCAGGTGAGGGGAAGACCATGCTAGCAAGTGGGTGGTGGTGTGTAGGGCTCTGAGGCACAGGGCTTTATGAACATGATTGGGGATTGGGGTGCCCTCATCTCTAAAAGGGGGCAGAAGTTCCCAGAAGGGCTGGGCTCCAAGGCAGTGGTGAGTTCTTCCTGCAACTGCCTACCCTGATCCTTGACTTAAAACCTAAGGACAGGCGGGGCGCGGTGGCTCACGCCTGTAATCCCAGCACTTTGGGAGGCCGAGACGGGCAGATCACGAGGTCAGAAGATCGAGACCATCCTGGCTAACACGGTGAAACCCCATCTCTACTAAAAACACAAAAAATTAGCCGGGCATGGTGGCGGGCACCTGTAGTCCCAGCTACTCGGGAGGCTGAGGCAGGAGAATGGCATGAACCCGGGAGGCAGAGCTTGCAGTGAGCCGAGATCGCGCCACTGCACTCCAGCCTGGGTGACGGAGCAAGACTCCGCCAAAAAAAAAAAAAATCTAAGGTGAATGGGCAGGTGCCCTGTGGCCTGCTTGCCCCATGGAGCACTGGACAGCAATGAGGGATGACCCCAGCCCCACACTCTAGTGGGAGGAGTCTTGCAAGCATGACGCAGAGTGAATGAAACTGGACCCCGAAGGGTCCATCTTATTCAGAAGAGCCATACCTACTCAAGGAGTGAGAAGTCAAAATGGTGCTTCCCCAGGCGGGGCGGGCATAGGTGGGAGCTCCTGGGGTACAGTCTGTGTTTTCTTCGGCTGGGTGCTGGCGTCCCAGGTGTCCACTGGTTAAAACCCCCTGACAGCACACCCAGGGCCTGGGCCCTCTGGCTGTGAGTCATGCGCTGCAGGGAGTCCTCTGGGGAGTGTGGGAGGAGCTGGCCCAGCACTGTGCTCCCCACAGGCTTCCCTGTCGCCTCGCTGTGTTGGCCTAGAGTGGGGTGCATCTGTGAATGTGCTAGGCAGGGTTTTCTGAGAGGGGCAAGCTCTGTAAAGGCATAGACATTGGCTTAAGACAGGACTTAGGGATGCCTTAGCTGAGGCCTGCCTGGCCGATGTAGTCACGTAAGACCGATGGCAGCAAGAGTGAAGGGCAGAAAGGAAGGTCTCTACCAGCACAGGGCACAGCGGGGATGGGATGAAGGTAAGATGGGACTCAGGTGCCCCCGGGGTCACTTCAGGGCCTCTTGAGGGTGACTGTGCTGGGCCCTGAGCCAGAGCCCCTCATGGTAGACAGGAGGGTTGTGGGGTCAGCCTTGTTTTGGGGATGGGGAACTGAAAGGACAAGGGCCACCTGCAGTTCTCAGCCGGTGGACCCTGGTGGGCAGGGTGCGCTGCAGGCCTGGCAGGCCCCCGCTCCTCGCGGCCTCCCTGGGCTGGGGGCAGTCCCAAAGGCTCTAACTCATGTCCTTTGGTTGTCGTCACAGCTGAATATCCATGTGGGAAACATTTCCCTGGTGGACCAGTTTGAGTGGGACATGTCAGAGAAGGAGAACTCGCCAGAGAAGTTTGCCCTGAAGCTGTGCTCGGAGCTGGGGTTGGGCGGGGAGTTTGTCACCACCATCGCATACAGCATCCGGGGACAGCTGAGCTGGCATCAGAAGACCTACGCCTTCAGGTAGGATCGCGCACAAATCTCTCCCTCCCTCATCTCCCTGCAAAACTGTTTTGAGAAAAAGACTTCTCTGTGTGAGTGGTGATACCTTTGAGGCTTTCTCAAGCTTCGCAGCACCATCTGGCTGGGGTCTGTGTGTTTGCTGTGTCCCCCTCCTGCCCTGTGTGTCTCACCGGGGCTCCGCTGTACCAGGTAGGGTTAGAAGCACTTAACGCAATAGCTGGCAAAGACTTGAGTTCTGTCAGGGCGAACCTCAAGTCCTTACCTCCACGGAGCCCTGGTTCTGCCCCCCGCCATCCACCATTCAGTCATCCTGCCCCACACCTTCTCTCTCTGCTCTTGCCCAGACTGTTATTTTGGTCAGGGTGGCCCCTGCCCAGAGTTCTTCATCTGTTGAACTTGAATTCTGTCTGAAACACAGAGGCCCGCCCAGCTTTCAAGAGTCAGGGGTCCCTGGCAGTTCCTTCTTACTATAGTAACTCTGCCTTTGGTCAGTCAGAGAGCATTTGATGAGTACCATGCTGGGCTGGAACCCATCCTGGCTGCCCTGGAAGATAGAGACAGGTCACCTTGATCCCTGCCTGCAGCATTTGGGCTGGCTGAGATGGTGGTGGAGGTGTGAACAGAATATTCCAGTCCAGTGTCCTCTGTGCTGGGACCTGGGAGAGGCCCTCCTGTTCCTGGCAGGAGGTAGGACTTAGAGTTAAAAGCGAGGTCAGGGCCCAGCACAGTGGCTTACACCTGCAGTCCCAGCACTTCGGGGAGCTGAGGTGGATCACCGGAACCCAGTAGTTCAAGACCAGCCTGGGAAAAACATGGGGAGACCCCATCTCTACAAAAAATACCAGAATGAGCCAGGCATGTTGGTGCACACCTGTAGTTTCAGCTACTCAGGAAGCTGAGGTGGGAGGATCACCTGAGCTCAGGAGGTCGAGGCTGCAGTAAGCCAAGATCATGCCACTGCACTCCAGCTTGGGTGACAGAGTGAGACCCCATCTCCAAAAAAAAAAATAGCGAGGTCGAGCTCTCCCGGCTCAGCGGGACTCTGGGACTGGGAAGAGGCTGAGCTCTCCCGGCTCAGCGGGACTCTAGGACTGGGAAGCCCTGTGGTTTCTAACCGTGTCCTCTGTGTTGGGACGGGGTGGGGGTGCGGCAAGCATCCCTACATCAAAACAGGATGTTTGGCTTTCATCTGCTCATCAGACTATCATCTTCCACATCTACAGTCATCACTCAGGGAGGACAGCTTAAAATGCTACATGAGGAGCAAATAGGAAGGTCTGTTTTGCAAAGCCATGACAATTAATGGAGCTCGTTAGGTTTGTGTCTAACTTGTTTTCCCAGACATCCCAAGAGACAGCTTCTACGACTTCCCGTAAATCTGAGCAAGGAAGAAGGAATGAGAGCCACCCACGGGGCTCGAGGGCCCCGGGCCTGGGAAACAGCTGAGCCCCTGCCTGAGCGCAGTGGTGCTGAGATCCTGTGACCTGCCCCCCAGCAGCCCTGCCAGTCACATGATTCTGCTTCAGACAGGGCAGCTCAGAGAGGAGGCTGGGGGTCTGGCGTCTGATGCCTCCCTGTTCCCGCGGGGTGTTGCCTGGGAGTGCAGCTGTAGTGTGCATTCACCCTGCACAGAGCCAAGCCCTATGGCCAGAGAGTCAGTCAAGGGTGGCCTCACTCCACCAGAGCTGGGTCCGAGGACCCGGGAGGCAGTGATGTTGCAAGCATCAGCACTGAGCACCTCCTCCCCCAGAGGCTGATCCAGTCAGAACCCTCATTCTGGGCTCGCAGGCATGGGTGGCAGACTAGCTGCCCCCAGCATCCGGCCCCTACAGTGTTGACCTTCACCTAGCCCTGCAGCCACCGTGCCCACAGTCCGGGCTCAGGAGGTGAAGTCCCCAGGGCCTCTTGACAGGTCCTCGCAGCATCCTTTCTTTCAGCCACCACAGCACCATCCCTCCTGCTCTGACCCGAAGGTGACCTGAGCCTGAATTCCTTGCCAAACTCTGGGCCCTCTGCAGTTTGCAGAGTGGCTCCAGAGCAGGCCCCCTGGGGAGTCCCTGGTAGTGGCAGGTCAGGACTTAGAGACGGATCCCCTCTTTATCTCAGTGACCACTTAATGCATTCCAGTTGTGGGGCCTGGGGCCGTCACAGACCCCCCACCCCCTGCTGTCTCTTATGCTGAGTGTGCAGGTTTCAAATCTTTAGGGTTAAAGGCAAGGCCATCCCACAGGGGGGACCAGGGTGAGCACAGGTCCCTATCACAGCAGCCAGGCGGTAGGGGCGGCCTGCCTGGGCACCTGGGAAGTGTCCTGAGTGGCCTTTTAGCATCAGGAGGGCTGCGTGTGTCTTCCCACTTCCCATACTAGAAGACAGCCTCAATGACAGGACAGGGCCTTAGGGTTGGACTGTCATCCCTGACTCCAACCCGCGTTCCCCCCACTGTACCACCCCACCCCATGGGCTCTTAGGAGGGACTTTGTTTAACTCTGTCCCCAGGGAGACCAGTGTCAGTCCTGCCTGGCCCTGCCTGGGGAAAGGAGGATGGGCTGCTGAGTCCCCAGGTCCAGGGACCAGTCAGCCCACAGAGAGCTAGACCAGGAGTCCTGGCCTGGTCTTTGCCACGCAGAAAGCTTGGCAACTGCTGTGTCACATGACTTCTTAAAAAGGGTTTTCAGGCTGGGCGTGGTGGCTCACGCCTATAATCCAGCACTTTGGGAGGCCGAGGGGGGCAGATCACCTGAGGTCAGGAGTTGGAGACCAGCCTGGCCAACGTGGCGAAACCCCGTCTCTACTAGAAGTAGAAAAATTAGCCAGGTGTGATGGTGGGCACCTGTAATCCCAGCTACTCAGGAGGCTGAGGCGGGAGAATTGCTTGAATCCGGGAGGCGGAGATTGTAGTGAGTTGAGATTGCGCCATTGTGCTCCAGCCTGGGCAACAGAGCTAGACCCTATCTCAAAAAAAAAAAAAAAAAAAAAAAGGGTTTTCAGCTCTGGGCCTAGGTCACCCCATAATGGAAGCACTCGCTGATTCCCCAAGAGCCAGTCCCTCTATCTCTCCCAGCCAGAGTTCAGTGCCTGGCTTCCATACCCTCCTCGGCAATGGGGACATTGGATCCACGGTACAGTGGGGCGACTGCCGGCCACAGGACATGTGTGCGCAAGGCCACTATGCCCACACCTCGGGGGAACTGGGACAGAGTACAGCCTGCTCCCTTTGGCAGTGGGACAGACAGGAGACAAGCATGAAGGGGAAACGGGCATATGACAAACTGGTCAGAAGCGCTAGGCTCCTAGAGGACAGACTGGGACCAGAGTGACACAGACGTCATAGAGCCAGTGGAGTAGGATGAAGGGCCAGTGACAGGAAGGAGACAGGGCTCAAGGGGAAGGAGGCTGGGCTAGGCAGAGCCTCTGAGGAGAGCTGATCCTGCAAAGTTACTGGCACCTCCCCTGGGCCAACCCTGTGTTCCTGGCCAGGGACTGGAGGAGACAGTGCCTTGTCTGGCAGAGGAGACAGATTCACGTGCATGGCCATCAGTGTGCCATGGCCACTGAAAGCACTGGAGGCTGTGGGCATGAGGAAGGGCAATGGAGGGCATAGAACCTGGGGTGAGGATGGCCAGGGCAGGTGCTGACGGGGGACTGCAGCAGGAAGGATCGAGAGGAGGCCAGGGACAGGCAGGTGCTTGAGAAGGAAGGTGGGCCCTGTGGATCAGGCAGGGCGTCTGCCCCAGGGGGCTCTGCACACTAGCAGTCCTACACGTACAGGGTGGGGATGAAGAGAGACTAAGGGTCAGGGAGCTTGGTAGCTGGGCCTGCATGAGGGACAGAGAGGCAGTGTCCCTCTGATGGCACAGCATCAGGAATTAGGCTGGGGGATGTCAGGGACACATTGTGCTGGTTGAGTGTGAGCCTCACAGGTTCCTCCCCAAGCTCTGCCCACCAGCCCTGGCCTGATGTCAGGTTTTATTTGTTTTTTTAACAGCTTTATTTTGATATTCATAAATCATACAATTCACAAATTTAAAGTATATAGTGCAGTGGTTTTTGATATATGCACAGAGCTGTGTAACTATCACCACCGTCAATTTTAGGACTTTTTCATCACCCCAAAAGGAAGCGCCACACCCCGCAGCAGGCAGTCCCGTTCCTCCCCACCGTCTCTCAGCCATAGGTGTCCACTCATCCACTTTCTATCTGTAGATTTGCCTATTCCGGGTATTTCATAGAAATGGAACCATCTAATAGGTGGTCTTTTATGACTGGCTTCTTAGCATAATGTTTTATGATTGAATATTATCTCATTGCGTGAATAGACCACATTTTATTCATTCATCAGCGGACTGACTTTTGGGTTGTTTCCATTTTTCAGCTATTGTGAGTATTGCTGCTGAGAACTTTGGTGTACGAGTTTTTGTGTGAACATCTGTTTTCAATTTTCTTGGCTATATACCCAGGAGTACAATTGCTGGGTCACGTGACAACTCAATGGTTAGCATTTTGAAGAATTTCTAGACTGTTTTCCAAAGTGGCTGCACCATTTTGCATTCCCACCAGAAGTGTGCGATTCCTGTTTCTCTGAATCCCGCCGACATTTGCTGTTCTCTTTTTGATCACAGCCATCTGAGTAGGTGTGAAGTAATTGTGGTTTTGATTTGCATTTTTCTAATGACTGATGATATTGAGCATCTTTGCCTGTATTTCTGGCCATTTGTGTATCTTCTTTGGAGAAAGTGATTTGCTAGTTTCTTAATTGGGTTGTCTTTTTATTGTTGAGTTATAATTGTTCTTTATATGTTCTAGATACAAGTCCCTCATCAGATGCATGATTTGCAGATATTTTCTCTCATTTGGGGGATTGCCTTTTCACTTTCTTGATAGTGTTCTTTGAAGCACAAAAGTTTTCATTTTGATGTAGTCCAATTTATCTTTTTTTTTTTTTTTTTTTTTGAGATGGAGTCTCGCTCTGTCACCAGGCTGGAGTGTAGTGCTGTGATCTCGGCTCACTGCATCCTCCGCCTTCTGGGTTCAAGCAGTTCTCCTGCCTCAGCCTCCCAAGTAGCTGGGATTACCAGCGTATGCCACCATACCTAGCTAATTTTTTATTTTTAGTAGAGACGGGGTTTCACCATGTTGGCCAGGATGGTCTCCATCCCTTGACCTCATAATCCACTTGCCTCAGCCTCCCAAAGTGCTAGGATTACAGGTGTGAGCCGCTGCGCCCGGCCGGTAATTTATCTATTTTTGTAGTTTGTTGCTAGTGCTTTTGGTTTCATATCTGAGAATCCATTGTCAATGCAGAGTCATGTTGCCCCAGCACCATGTTGAAAACTACTCTTCCTCCATTGCGTGGACTTGACACCCTTGGAAAAATCAGCTGAGGCTCCTGGCGGCCTCGGAGGTGTTGATTGCAAACATAAGGGCGACACCAAGTTTTGGCATCTCCCCTTCCTGGTCGAGTGGCTGTGGGCAGGTCGTTTTCCTTGAAGTCTATCTATATTTTGTAATTTGTAATGTGGGGATAATACTTGTCTGTTGCATCACGTGAGGTCATGAAAGTGAGATCACATTGAAAGTAAACCTCAAGATACTTGACCGGCATCAGTCCTGCCTCTCTCTGTCAACTCAGACATAACCATCCCTGCCTGGGTCTCTTTGTCCCCACCTGGACACTTTGGGTGGTAGGAAGGTCTAGGGTCCCTGGTGGCTTCGAAGCCCATGAACCAGAATTCCCTGGAAGGAGTGGGGAGCAGGGTGGCTTCCAGGGTCCCCAGCACCGTTTGGAACTCAGGACAGCATCTCCCTGCCCATATGCCCCCCAAAACCCAAGGCAGGCTAGTGCTGGCTCTAGGCCCATTCTTACGTGGTTGGTGCGAGCATTTATTTTAGAACAAACCCACTGGAGTGGAATCTTCCCAGTGTCAAGGGGAGGTAAACAAAGGAGTCTCTGGGACCCACTCATCAGCTCTTATTTAAGAGAAAAACATGTTTTGCTCCCCTCGGTGTGGGCTCAGTGCCTTTCATGTCTGCCCTCCAAGGAAGGCTGCTGGGAGCCCTCACGGTGAGGAATGCTGTTTGGGGTCTGGGGCTGGGGCGGTCCCTAGACTGCTAACGCCCCCCTCCCCCGTGCTGGCCGGGGACCAGCTGTCAGGAGCTGCTGAGGATGGGTTAGCCCCAGAGGCCCACACAGGTGGGGGTGCCAACACTGCCTCTGGCCCTGCCTCTGCGTCACCAGCATGAGCTCGAGCTTCTGGGACTCATGGGCATGGACCTGGTGGGCTGAGCGTCAGCTGTGAGGGGTCAGGCCTGCTGCAGGGAGAGCCAGCCGCAGCCAGTGCCCTGTGCTGTGCCTTGTGTGCTCACAGTCCCTGAGACCCCAGGCTGAGGAGAGCAGCACTGAGCCCAACCTGGAACGGGCTCGTGGCTCCCGGTGCTGGGTGTGCGCTCACTGGTGTGGATATAGGGAGCCGGGCCTCGCTCTGCAGGCGGACCGGTCCCACAACCTTGAGCGCCGGCTACAGGGAGGCTGTGAGAAGGTCCCTGGCCCCTAGGAAGCTCCCTCAATGGATGTGTGTTGGCTGCTTTAATAACAGTCATCTTTCAAAAGCCCTTCACAGCAATAAATGTTTCCATATTCCAGATGAGGTTTGCAGGGACCTGTCCTCTCTTACTCTATCAGTGTCCGCCTGGCGCTTCCCCTGAGCCCGGCCTGTCCTTGCTCCCCAGAACTCACTGTGTTTTGCAGAGCTGCAGGCTGGCAGGGTGTCTTCTCCCAGGGCTGAATCTAGGGAGAGCCAAGTGGAGGTGCCCAAGTGGAGGAGAAAGGAAAGGACCGTGGAGAGGGGAGGGGAAGTGGGAGAGTCATGGTTAGGACCGCAGTCTGAGGCCTTCTGCCAACCCAGGGGTCTGGTGTCACTCAACCGGGAAACATTGTCAGCACCCAAAGCTGCTGTCTCAGAGGTGGGGGTGACAGGGGCCACTGCATGTGGGAGGCACACGGGCCCTGTGGCATCCACAGCTATGGTCTCCTTAGCGTCCTATCACAGACTTGCAAATCAAGGCCCAGAAAGGGGGCAGCCAGCCACCCTCCCACCTCCCCCAGCACTCCTATGTCCACCCCATGCCTGTGTAGCCTCTGCCCTTGCTGCCCCCTCCTCTGCTGTATCACCTTGGCAAGAGGAGGGTACGTTGGGGCAGAGTCGGGTGGTCCCTACGAGACCCAGGGCAAAGTGTGGTCCAGGGATATGGCTTCAGTCCAGCTCCCTGCCAGCCAGCTGTCTGATCCTAAGCACAGACCAGCCTCTCGAGGGGTTTTGTTTGGCCAGGAGGTGGGCTGAGGGGCAAGTGTGTAGAACATGCAGGGAACAGGCTGTGCAGTGGCCCTCAGTAGTGGGGCGCTGGGGACTTCTGGGAGACTCCTTTGCTCCCATTCACCATCCATCCCTTTTCCCTGATCAGTGGGCCCTGGCTCTGGACACTGGGTGGAGCATACAGTCCTCCTGCTCCTATGGGTTCCACCCCTGACTATGGCACTGTGGCATCAGCGTGGCCCAGCCCGTGCTGTCCTGTCAAGGACGACCACCTCCACAGCCAATGGCCCCCTCCTCCATCTCAGAGACAGAGAGATGCTGGGCGCAAAAGGCCTGTTGAAAGTTCACTTTGAAGGGAAGCCCATGGAGTCATGGTGACAACACTGTTGTTCTGGAGAGGCGCTGGCGCCTCCAGCAGCTCCCTTGGGGTTCAGGTGACTGGAGCATCCCCTGGGTGCCAACAGTGCTGCTGGGAGGAGCAGGGCACAGACAGGGGCCAGAGCTTTCTGAGGACTCTCCATCTGTAGCTGGAAAAGTCATTCCTTTCACTGCCTCCCCTCCTCGTAGTGAGAACCCTCTGCCCACAGTGGAGATTGCCATCCGGAACACGGGCGATGCGGACCAGTGGTGCCCGCTGCTGGAGACGCTGACAGACGCCGAGATGGAGAAGAAGATCCGCGACCAGGACAGGAACACGAGGTACCCCTGGCCCTGTGGTCCTGGGCTCTGCCTACAGGCATCTGGCTTTCCAGGCAGGGGCAGGGCCATTGCCTTTCCCAGTCTCCCATGGTCTTTGGGAACCTCTAGTGTTGCTAGAGGCAGGCAGGCTTCTGGGTGATGAGGCCCCATCCAAGCCCCAGAGTATGTTTCCCTGCAGGGAACAAACACAATTCCTCAGGCTGAGGGTCTGACCACAGCCCAGATCCAGGTTTTGGGGTCCCTGGAGTGATGAGCAGGGCTTGAGTGGCAGACAGGTGAGGCTGAGAGAAGGCAGGGTCCAGACCTGCTGGGGGCCATATCCTGCTTCTGTTCCCACCCCCACACCTGGCTGCCCTGTAGAGCCTTGGGAAGGGCAGCACCCAGGCTGGGAACTGGCCCCGACTCATTGCCCTCCCCACTCCTCTTCCAGGCGGATGAGGCGTCTCGCCAACACAGCCCCGGCCTGGTAACCAGCCCATCAGCACGCGGCTCCCACGGAGCATCTCAGAAGATTGGGCCGCCTCTCCTCCATCTTCTGGCAAGGACAGAGGCGAGGGGACAGCCCAGTGCCATCCTGAGGATCGGGGTGGGGGTGGAGTGGGGGCTTCCGGGTGGCCCTTCCCGGCACACATTCCATTTGCTGAGCCCCAGTCCTGCCCCCCACCCTCCCCGCCCCTCCCCAGTCTCTAGGGTCAGGAAGAAACCTTATTTTAGGTTGTGTTTTGTTTTTGTATAGGAGCCCCAGGCAGGGCTAGTAACAGTTTTTAAATAAAAGGCAACAGGTCATGTTCAATTTCTTCAAAGTTTTAGCATAAAAATAATGAGAGCCAGAAGTGGGGCTGGGGCTTGGGGGGACAAAGGTGGCATGTGAACAAGGCTGACACACAGGCCTCGCCCTCCTCTGCCTCCGATTCCCAGGTGGGCGAGTGAGGGTGAATGCGGCTTCTGGTAGCACCTCAGCTCCCTTCAGCCTGTTCTCCTTCCAGACCCAGAGAGCTGAGAAGAGTGGCTGCGAGGCTCAGGGCAGAGTTCTCTGCCTTTCAGCAACAGCCCTAACTCTGTTCCGCTTGCTTGGCCTCAGAAAGGTGCCGTGAGCTCTCCTGCTGTCCCTGGGCTGCCCTGGCTCTGCTGTGTTCAGATGGTCAGGCTACTGCCAGCTGGGGCCTTGCTGCTCTGAAGTCCCCTGCGGAGGGCCCAGTCCTGTGTGGGCACTGCTGGGCTGTCGCCAGCCTGGGTGCAGGAGGGCTGTTCTAGCTCCAGTGGCACCCATAGCCAGGTCAACTGGGGCCCTTTCCCACCCCAGCAGGCGCTGTGGCCTGGGCCAGTTCCTGCCTCACAGGCCAGCTGTGAGGAGTATGGGAATAGCCCTCCCGGCCTGGTGCCAGCTCTTGGGGTTGACACGGTGCAGGGAGGAGACATAGCCCGAGGTCCCTTCCCAGCCCTGCCTCCAAGGAGTTCGTGTCCCCTCTGTGTTCTCATCTGTAATAGGGAGGGGTCCCCACTCTTTAGAATGGACATAGGATCTGGGAGGGCAGCAAACTGGCTCACAGCTCCAGCCTCACTGAAGGGAGTGGGCACAGATCCCAGCACAGACTGCTGCCACCCTCAGCTGTTGGCAAGTCCCTTGCTGCCAGGGCAGGGCTAGGGTCAGAGATTGCCGTGCTCCCTGGAAGTGGGGTAGGGCCCCATGTGGGCAGAGGCAGAGCTCCGATTAGGGATTGAGGTTCTTGGTCGCTGGGATGTGAGATGGGGGCTCCTTTGAGCACATGTTAGCATGAGACTCTACCGAGGGAGTTTGCACTCAGGGCCTCTGCCCTGCATCAAAGAGTGGAACTCCCCAGAGCCCCACGCACAGCAAGGGGACAGCTGGGCCCTACTGGAAGGCCTTGAACAAAAGGGAAGATTCCCAGCCCAGCTGCTCTTGGACATGAACAGGTTTCATTGCTGAGGTGTTTGTTCCATCCATGAGGCAGGAACCTTGGCAATGAAAGGGTGAGGCAGCCCTGTGTCTCCACAACTGGTGGGATGGAAGGAACCTTGGCTGCCTCACCCCACAGGTCGGGCAGGGCCACCTGGCTGGGAGGTGCCGGGGGAGGCCGGGCCCTCCCTCCTGACTGCCAGTTCACACCGCCGCAGAGCCAGCTCCACAAGGTCTGGCTACAACATGGAGGGCAGATTCAACAGAGAACAGTGTTGTTACCATGAAAATGACAACCTGTAGCTGGAGGAAGCCCCGTGCCACTGAGCATCCAGAAATAAACCACAACATGGACAGGCCTAAAGCAACAAGGAAAGCTGCCAGGTCAGAAGAGAAAAGTGAGCCGTAGGGGTCAGATAAGGCTCACACAGGTCCTCAGCTAAAAAGAGCAGGAACAGAACCTTCCAGAAGTCCCTCCCTCACCTAGTCTCAGGACTCTGCTAAGGTGAAAACTAAGGCTCTGGGGTCATAGAAAGGGCAGAAGAAAGACCCAGTCCTGGCCCTCTTTTGCACCTGACTCCATGGGGCTTTGGTGTCACCAGATGATAAATGAGTTATAGGCCCACCTGTCAGGGTGGCTGATGAGGAACAGGAGAGGCTAGATCGGCATCAGCTTGAAGGCACCACTGGCCAGAACATCTATCTGTAGGCTGGCTCGGCACAGTCTAGGAGAGGCCTGTCCTGGCCCCAGCAGCCGAAATCTGGTGAAATTCCCCACTGACTGGCATGGAGCGGAGGCCTATGGTGGGCGGGACTTGCCCAAAAGCCCTGGTAGGGCCAGGATGAAAACCCTGAGCCTGTCACCTGTGAGCTCAAAGCTCTGCCGGGCAACCATAGGCAGTTTCTTTGCCCTCTATGGGCACCCCATCCTACCACCTACAGTTGGGCTGAGAGGCGACACTGAGTGAGGACGGGGCACGGGGCAGGCAGAGAAGGATGTGGCTGGGTGAGGTGGGGAAGCCAGTGCTGTGGGCCGAGAGACTGCAGGTCATTCTGTTTATTCGGGTGGGCCCTTGCATGGACCCAGCCTTTAGGATGGGTTTTTTCTGCCCCAAGTAGGGATCACAGGTAGGATGGAAGCTGCCAGAAGCCTCTTAGGCCTGGCCCTCGGTGGGGGTCACTGCTGCGGGGGTGGCAGATGGGGTCCTGGCTGTTCCTCAGGAAGGGGCAGGTAATTGGGGTCTTCTGCAGGGGCATCCAGGAGCAGCTTTCTGTGGGGAGGGGCCCGTGTTAAGCAGAGGCCAGCACAGGTCCCCATTGGTGGGGATCCATCTGAGGGCGGGGAGAGGGGGGGAGGACTCTCAACACTCACAGGAAGCTAGGGGTCAGCAGGAGCCTCTTGCCTCCAGGCTGGTTGGGGAAGACATCCTCCAGGAAGTAGTAGATGTGGCCCACGGCAATCCCTGTGAGACAGCCACGGACTGCAGGGTCACCCTCCACAGCCCAGAGTCCTAGACCAGCAGAACCTGCCCCGGCCCCCATCCACAGCCTGGTGGCCCTGCAGGCCCCAGAGCATGAGTTCCCCAAAATCTTGCAGAGTGTCAGCCCAGGGTGGGCCCTGAAGGACAAGCTTAAAGGGCCCAGAAGCAGACAGGACACAGGGAGGGGAGGGCCTGAGAATAGTGGAGGAGTGGGAGCCATGGGGCAGGAACCCTGACCCGCCCATCCCCCACCCCCATCAGGACCACGCAAGCATCAGCAGATCAGCCCTGAAGATGCAAATTATGTGGGCCAGGTGGCTTGAGGGGCTGTAAGAGCACAGCAGCGGGGAGGGCAGGAAGATGGGGATGGAGCCAGATGAGAGGTCCAGATGTGAGCAGAGCTCCAGCACGGATGGGAGAGGGGCCCCAGGGCATAAGCAGCGTGTCCTGAGGGGAGTGGCCAGCCTGGGGTGGACTGGATGTACCAGGAGGCTCACCCAGCAGGTCCACGAGGATGGAGTTGCCCAGCAGCAGCGAGAAGCCCATGAGTGCCCAAGGCAGGAACGGTGCCTGGAAAGTGAACAGGCCGAAGAAGTTGACCCTCACCCGAGGGCTGCGGCGGCTCCACACGTACACCAACATGGCCATGAGGGCCTGGCCCAGGAAGAACAGGCTGCCCAGGAATCCCAGCAGCTGGGCCAGAGTCAAGGTGCTCCGGTGGCAGGCCTCAGCCCAAGCTCAGGGCCCCTCTGACTTCTCAAGCCCCCGGAATTCTTCCCCTCATCTCCCCTCTGTGCTATTCCCTCATCAAGATGAGCCCGTCCAATAAAGGCGACAGACAGTCCGCTTCAGGTCCCATGAGATCCGCCCTGCACACCTACAGCCTCATCCCAGGGTCCAACCACTGCCTGTCCCTGCCCCAGTTTCTCCCGGCTACTCGCATTCAGGGCTCAGCTAGTGGCCCTGACACCCCACCGGGCTCTTTTGTGCATCGCCTTGTATTTTGCATAGAGCACTGAAGATCTAGCCCTGGCCCCTGCAGCTGAGCACAAAGTCGACCCTCAACACAGACTAAGCTGGAGGAGCGACTGTGTCCCTTTCTGGTACGGCTGTTCACGTCAAGCCCCAGGACCAACACAGGCCGGACCCCGAGACGCCCTAGCCCGAGATTCCAGAGCCTGCGGGAAGGATACGGTCATAAGGACGCCCCCGAAGAGAAACATGAAGACGAAGTCGGCCGTGCGGCCGCGGAAGGAGCCCTCTTCCAGCATGCGGCAATAGCGGAACCTACGGCGTCGGTATAGGAAGTGCCACCAGGTGGGGTCTCAGTTTCCCCGTCCCGGGCTCTCCCAGCCCTGCGGGCCTGCCCTCCACCCAGCCTATGTCTGCAGGGCGCAGGATACACGAAGAGTATGTTGAAGAAGAAGCTGAATCCCAGGGGCCCGAAAAAGAGGAAGTTGGTGACGAGTCTCCAGACCTGCGGAGTACGGGTGGTCAGGTGCGGGGTGGGCTGTCAGGTGCGGGGTGGGCTGTCAGGTGCGGGGTGGGCGGGCCGGGCCCACAGGTGCGCGGGGCGGGGCGGCCTCACCTGGAACTTCCGGAACACAAGGTGCGGGTTGAAGTAGAGTTGAAACGGGCTGAGGAGCTCCAGCTGCTGTAGAACCAGGGGCCAGTCAAGAGCTGCCAGGGAGCCACGCCGTAACCATGGCGACCCTCACCCTCCCGCCAGAGGCTGTAACCAAGGCGACGTCCGGTCCGCCCGGCCGCTTACCACCGCCGCAGTGGTGAGGACACAGGCTGCGGTGTAAGCCCGCGTCACCGCCGGCACCTGCAGGAACTCGGCCGCTAGTCCCTGCCACGCCATTGAACCTTCTCAAGCACGCGTGGCCCAGCCAGCAACGCGCTCTTTAACCCGCCTCCCAGCCCCGCCTTCTACCAATCCGCATCCGAGGCGCTGCGCGCCCCGGCTGAAAAGAGAGCCCCTGAGCCCGGCAGCCAATGGAAGGAGGAAGAGGGCAATTAGGGGCGGAAAGGGAGAGTGGGCGGGTAGAGGCTGGTGGCCAATGGGCAGGCGCCAAGGTTGAGCACGTGGCGGTTGTTGTGGCTGCGGTGGTGGCGCGGGAGAACGTGTGACCAATGAGGAACTGGTCACTTCGCGGCTTTCTAGGAGAGGGCCAGTAGCGAGGACCCACGACACCACGGGGGCGGGGCTAAGATCGTAGGATTAGAGGAGCGAAGACCCGAGCAGGCGAGGCAAAACAGGAAGGGGCGGGGCGCGTGGGGGGCGCAGGGAGTGTGGCGGCTCAGACAGTGCTGGCTCACTTCCAGCTCACTGACAACCTAGCCACAACGTTCTCCTCGCTGCGAACCCGAGACAGGCCCACCGGATCCACAGCAGGGAGGCATTCGGGAATGTGTGCAAACCTCCAGGGCCCCACTCAAATGTGCTGGCCCCTGTCAGGGTTCTTCCCTGGGGCCACGGAAGGAGAGGCCGGACTGGGGGATTGAGTCCAGGTGGGGCCCGAGGGTTGAGAGGCGCACCAGAGCAAATGGACAGGCAGGAGAGAGCCTCAATATTTTGGTGGAAAATAGAAATTTCCTCCCTCCTTCCCTCCTTCCCTTCTTCCCTTCCCCTCCCTCCCTCCCTTCCTCCCTCCCTTCCTCCCTTCCTTCCTCCTTTCCTTCCTCCCTTCCTTCCCCTCCGTTTACTAAACAACTGTATGCTGGGGATACAGCATCCAGTAAAAGACACTGTCTCTTAATGTCCAGCCAGGAGGCAGTCAATACAATAAGCTAGTGCTGACACTTGATGAGAGTATTGCCAACTGAGGGGTGAGGACACGTGGGGGTCCGCAGTGCTAGGTGGGGTAACCTAGGATGCCTCTGGGAAGATGTGAATTTTGTCACTTTACAAGGATCCCTGTGGCCATTAGGATGGTAACTGTGAAAAACAAAACAATAAAGTGTTGTCTAGGATGTGGGGAAATTGGAACCCTTGGGCACCATTGGTGGGAATATAAAATGGTGCATCCGCTGTGAAAAACAACATGACCATGACTCAAAAAACTAAAAATAGAATTATCGTATGATCCAGCAATGCTACTTGTGGGTACATATCCAAGAGAATCAAAAGCAGGGACTTAAACAGATATTCATACACCCGTGTTCATAGCCCCATTATTCACAATGGTTCACATCGGTTCACCCAGTGATGAGACAGACGAAGTGTGGTGTCTACATGCAAAACAATACCATTCAACCTTAAAGGAATGAAATTCTGACACATGATGCAACATGGATGACCCTTGAAGACATTACGCTCAGTAACGTAAACCAGTCACAAGGCTGGGCACAGTGGCTCACACCTGTAATCCCAGCACTTGGGAGGCCGAGGCAGGTGGATCACCTGTGGTCAGGAGTTTGAGACCAGCCTGGCCAACACGGTGAAACCTTGTCTCTACTAAAAATACAAAAATTAGCTGGGCGTGGTGGCAGGCGCCTGTAATCCCAGCTACTCGGGAGGCTGAGGCAGGAGAATCGCTTGAACCCGGGAGATGGAGGTTGCAGTGAGCCAAGATCATGCCACTGCACTCCAGCCTGGGCAACAGAGTGAGACTCTGTCTCAAAAAAAAAAAAAAAAAGGCAGTCACAAAAAGACAAATACTGTATGGTTCCACTCATATGAGAAGGATCAGGGAGTTATTGTTTAATGAGTGCAGTTTCAGTTTGGGAAAATGAAAAAGTTCTGGAGATGGATGGTGGGGATGGTTGCATAAGAATGTTTAATACCACTGAACTGAACACTTAAAAATAGTTTGGACAAATTTTATGTTATGTATATGTTACTAAACTTAAAACAAACAAAACAAAACAAAACCCTCTGTGTTTGCTCTTAGGGTAGTGGACTGCCAGAGGAATCCGTGAGCAGGGGGAGGCTTTAAGGGACAGTGATTATTTGGAGGGGTGGAATCTGGAGGACGAGGCGGGGTGGGATACGGGTTTGTCCACAGATGGGACAGGGCTGAGAGAGGGGAGTCCAAGTGGATTCAGAGGCCTGAGCTGCAGAGTGGATGGATGGTGGTCGTCTTTGTTGAGATGGAGGGCTCGTGGGGAGAAGGTGAGGGGGATAGAGGGTCCTGTTCCGGCCTCATCAAATTTGAGGCCTCTGTGTGACATCGCTTGGAACAATCTGAGTGTGGTGTTGGGGTGGGGGTTGGAGCAGACAGTCCTAATGTGGGTGCTGTCATCCAGTAGTAGATCAATGGTATGTGTAGCTTTGGGCATGTGTGAGATGCTCAAGGGGCAAGGGTCGATGGAGAAAAGAGGCCAGGCCTGGGTAGCCTGACCTGCAGTAGCCAGGGAGGGAAGGCAGCCCCAGCTGGGGAGGCCGAGGGAGGCTGAGCCAGGAAAGGGCTTCAGGAGCCAGGCAGTGATAATCCAGGGAGACGTGGCCTGGGAAGGGACTGAGTTGCAGCCATGCTAAGGCTCCTGGTAACCAGGATAATGGCAGGCAGGAGGGAGAGGGAGGCACACAAATGGATGTGCCTTCACAAACAAGGGGAGTGCAGCCTTGCAGGGAAGTGTGGAACACGAGGGATGCTCTGGACAGGGCTCTGAGGTCCCCCGAGGAGACTGGAACTGGCCAAGAGGGAGAACTGGCTGAGAAGGTTCTCAGGTGGATCCCAAGAGCATGAGGGTCCCACAAGCGCCCTGAGGGGGGTTCCCTGGGGAGTGGGCTGAGACCAGTGCCTGATGAGAGTGGGTTCAGGAGCCTTCCTCCCTGCTCTGGAGGGGAGGGGGAGAGCCTGGAGTGCTGGAGGGATGTGCATTTGCTGGAGGGATGTGCATTTGCTGGAGGGATGTGAGAAGGTCTGGCCTCATACAGCAGGGGTTGGACCAAGACTCTGAAGGGTTGGGGACTGGGAGCAGGGTGAGGGGACCCCCACAGACAACCTTGGTTTTCCAGCAAAGCAGGCTAAGGTCATGTTGGAAGCATGCCAGGCAGAGCAAATCCCACCCTGGCAGCCACAGTGTGCGGCAGGGCGGGGACCCAGGGCCTCTGACGCCGGCGCGGGCGCCCAGCGGGCACAAAGGAGCCGGTACAGGAGGTCGGGTTTCATGTCAGTGTGGGGAAGGGGAGGTATTCCTCCTCCAGGCACTTAGCAGGCGCTGGCTGGCCCTCAACTCAGGGTCAGGCTGGGGCTAACAGGAGGGGCCGCCATTGTCGACCGGGGCGTCTGTCTCCCCTTCGATTGGGGGCCGATAAGACAGGCGCCCAGATTGGGGGCTGAGAAGCACATTCCTGGGAGGCCAGGAGCCTGGGGTGGGTGGGGGAGGCCAGCCAGGGCTGGGAGGGAGCATGGCAGGACATCCAGGGAGCAGCGGCTGGGTCCACTGAAGAGGCTCCCTTTCCAGAGCCCCAGGATATCCTCAGATGGGGAAACTAAGGCATATAAGGAAGCAGAACAGGGCCTGGGGCAGACCTCCATTCTTTTTTGTCCAGTCTGACGCCCAGAACAGGCCACTCTGGAAACACTAGGTCCACTTCTCCTTGGACCCTTGAGCCCCTCCAGATAATTCTTTATGGAGAGAAGCCCTGGGTATCCATGGGTCCTAGTGAGGAAGTGCCTTACGCTAATATCACGGTGGCAGACCTGCCGGCTGGGCCAGCCTTCTTTCTCCTGTGCTGAGGACGGTGGGTGGGTTGGGGACCTGTGGGGTAAGGTAACAATGGGCTCTGCTCCCCATGCCACCTCCCTGGCATTGTGACCCTTCCTGCTGACTCCCATAGGACACCTAGATCTCCTATCCAGGCCCTCTCAGTGTCTGTAGACAGGAGAGTGCCCTCTGTATACTCACCCCACCCAGCTTTCCCCCTCACTGGCCTCACACACTAGGAGGGGTCATCCTCAGCCCCCAAGCCTGGAGTCAGCTTTGTACCCAAAGCCCCATGTTGCATTTTTTTTTTTTTTTTTCTAGAGACAGGCTCTTGCTCTATTGCCCAGACTGGAGAGTAGTGGTGTGATCACAGCTCACTGCAGCCTCAACCTCCTGCTCTCAAGTGATCCTCCCGCCTCAACCTCCCGAGTAGCTGGGACAACAAGCATATGCCACCATGTCCCGCTAATTTTAAAATTTTTTTTATAGAGATGGCGTCTCACTGTGTTGCTTAGGCTGGTCTCAAACCCCTGTCCTCAAGCAATCGTCCCGTGGACTCCCAAAGCGCTGGGATTACAGGCGTGAGCCACCACGCCCGGCCCCCTATGTCACACCTGACACTCCCACGGAACTCTCTAGGCCTTTCCCTTCTCTCCTATGCCTCATCACCACCACTAACTCTTATTCAGGCCTCTGGTTCTCTCCTTTAATACTGTCCCAACTCTCCAAACTATTCATTCTGTTACCAAAAAAAAAAAAAAAAGGAGGAAGGCTGGGTGTGATGGCTCATGCCTATAGTCCTAGCACTTTGGAAAACTGAGGAAGGCGGATTGCCTGAGCTCAGGAGTTGAAGACTAGCCTGGGCAACATACAGAAACCCCATCTCTACAAAAAATACAAAAATTAGCCAGACATGGTGGTGCATGCCTGTAGCCCCAACTGGGAAGGCAGGGAGAGCCAGGGGGCTGAGGCGAGAGGATCCTTGAGCCAGGGAGGTCGAGGCTGCAGTGAGCAGAGATTGCACCACTGCACTCCAGCCTGGGTGACAGACTGAGACCCTGACTCTTAAAAATACATTTTTAAAAAAATATGTTTCCTGGCTGGGTGCATTGGCTCATGCCTATAATCCCAGCAGTTTGGGAGGCCAAGACAGGCAGATCACCTGAGGTAAGGAGTTGGAGACCAGCCTGGCCAACATGGTAAAACCCCGTCTCTATTAAAGATACAAAAATTAGCTGA